TTCGGAACGCGCTATCATCCGAGATTCGTCGTGCTTTTTTGATGGAAAAAAAAACATTTGTTTCGCGCGACCCTGTCAATTGTCGATCGTGGCATTGTCTTCGTTGCGAGCCGTGTTGCGCGGGGGAGAAGACTCCGTGATGGGAAGAACCCGAGAGCGTCGAACTTCGGGGGAGGCAACGAGATAAACAACGATAAACGCGGTGCTAGTTGGGTGTGAAACGGTCACGCTTTATTAGCTCGTTAGCGACACACGGCGGCGGCGGACAATCGACAAATCGTCACAACGTATTGCAGAGAGTCGAGAAGAAAAACGGGCGATCGTTCACGTGCCTAGCACGTGCCGGACCCATCGCGAGACCCACCGGAAACAAGCGATAACTCGCGTAAGATATAAAACAAACTTTCAACGAAGCGTTGTAAATACTAGTGGTGCAGAGTCGTGTTGCCCTTAGCCCTAGGGGATCGAGTAAGCTAACAGTTCTGCAATAAAATGAATGCGTTATTATGGAATGTTAACGGGCGATTTTGATTTTTAAACTGTGAAAAACTCTTTAGCGGTACTAAAATAATCGCGACATCGTAAAACGAACGGTCGGCCGTCGACGCTTGTCGCCTCGGCAACGCACGCTTGCACGCAAATGTTACATCTCACAAGTAAAAAATATAATCATGATAACATTACATACGACGCGCGATATTACAACAGCGATCGCTCTCCACGTGTGCTTTTCGCGCCACTAACAAAAACGACGAATGTAGCAACGTCGCAATGCTCTTCGTCCGATAAGCTGCCGAGATTATGTGCGGGGGGCGGGGGGTGGGGGGGCAAATCGCGCGTACGGTCTCAACAAATAAGTATAATGTAGACGAGAAAACAACAACGGGCTCATAGAATTATCCACTCTTCCTGCCGGTGTCGTTCTTGTTCTCAACCGTGCAAGGATAACAGAACATCACGATTTATGATCACACATAATGTCATGAACAAATGCATACTCTCGTGAACACGTGTATAAACGCAGGAACATATGTATACTCTCGTGAACATATATACTCATGAACATATGTATACTCTCGTGAACACTCATGAACATACGTATACTTTCATGAACATGTACATTCTCATGCACATAAATATACATGTGTTCATCATGGCTATATCAAACGTAACGATAAATCCTCGTGAATGTAAACTTAAAAAACTGGAGGAAAAAGTTTGCATTAGCGCTAAAATTTTCTCCAACGATTCACCGATCGGAAATAAACATATGCATAAATACTGGCTCTGCCATCGCTAGGCAAGAGGATTACACCTATTTACTATACAAGATTAAAACGTAAAAAATGCACATCTATCGCCGGGTGAAAGCTCTCTGCACCCTCCTCGTCGATTGACGTACATCCAGATATGACTTAACGATCACTCTCCCGCTTCTCACCGCGCCGTAGCATCTGGTATTATGCGAGTAGGAATAATCGCAGAGGACTTCGCGACCATGGCCTTGAACCTCCTATGGGCAGGCGTTGCCGGTGGTTGAAGGCCTGGCTGTCCAGCGCTGGGTAACCAGGTTACGACCCAGAGGCCGTCGCGTCTCCAGTTCCAGGTTTTTCATGAGTTTGTGAGTTTCGGACCGGAGTCGATACCAGAGAGCCCATGGCACAAACGCGCATGCAAAAATGCGCTACCCCTCAGAATCGCCAGATAAAGGCAGGCAGTATGGCGGCCGGACAGCCGCCGCGTCCCCGCTCCGCGATGGTGCTTCGCGCTTCGCAGCGCGCGCAACTCTATAATGTCCGAACGGCGCGACATCAGGACACACCGGAGCCGCCTCGTCGCGAGTCGGGGCCCGGACCTGCGACCCCATCCGTGGCAAAGGAGGCGGCCACCTGCATGACGAGCCGCAGAGGGCGCTGCATCACTACGTATGAGGGTGGTTGAGAGAGTTCGCGCGCGACGACTGAACCCGCGCTGGGTTGCCGCGCGGGCGAACGAGACAGGCGGGACTCGTGCGGAACTGCCCGCGTCTCGCAGACCGAGCCACTCGAGGCAGAATCGGAGCTGCACGCGGCGTTCCGCAGTCGCAGCGCGCGCGCCCCCTGCAGGTCGCGCGGGCGGTGCGCAGACCGCTCTACGCCGCGGCGTCGACGTAGGCCCCGCGCCACCCACGGGACCCCGACGGAACGCTCCGCCGGCGCGCGCATATATCGCCGCCTAGCGCGCGGTCGGCGCACCGAGGGGCGCTGAAGCGCCGCCGCGGCGCGTCCGGGATCGGACGCGTGGCGCAGCCGCTGCCGGACGGCTGCTGTGCTCGCAGCTAGTACAGAACGGATGACGTTCGCTGCCGATGATCCCGCACGTCTCAACGCGCGCACGGCGCGGGGCCCGCACGTAGCCTCGCCTGGTCGGGCCGGCGTGCGCTCGCGAGAACGGCGGGATTTCGCCGCGGGCGCAGGGAAGCGGCCGACGCTCCCTCGGGGGTTGCCAACGCGGGGGAAGCGGGGCCGGAGCAGGGGCGGCGGCCCACGTGCGCGCTTTCACGGCGCTGCCCCGGCGGCGCGCGGGACACGCGTAGCGAGATCTCGCGAGAACGCGCGCAGCGCCGCCAGCTCGGCGCGCGCGGCGCCCCCTGGCGGCTGAGTCGGCTCGTACGGCGACACGTAGCGCGTCTTTCGCGGCGGTTTCGGCGGCCGGCCCGCGTCCCCGCCGCCGCTTCCGTTCAGGATGTTCTCGAAGGAACTGGATGAGCGGACGGCGACCACAGGGGGCAGCACCTCCTGCGACGCGATGGCCTCGTGCGAGCGAAACTTCTTCAGCCGGCGGCGCGGCGACATCGTCACGAAGGTACGCGAGCCGCCGCCAGGGCGCGCCGGCGGGCTCGACGCCTGCCCACCAGGGGGCACCACGGTCTCGGGTCGGCTCGCTCGGACGGTCGAGGCATCATCGTCGGCGGCGGCGACGGGCGTCCTAGTCGGTGAGCTCCATCTTCTGACGGAGGACGGGCGAGTCGGTGGCGGCACCTGCTGGCTGTCAGGCGGCGACGCACGGGCGCTGACTGGCATCGTCGGCGCCATCTGTTGGTTACCGGAAGACGACGTGCGAGTGATGAGTGTTGGTGACGCCACCTGTTGGCCGCCAGATGGCGACACGTGGGCACTGTCTGGTGTCGTCGGCGCCGCCTGTTGGCTAACAGATGGCGCCACGCAACTGATGACTGGCGTCGCTGCCGCCTGTTGCCCACTAGATGGCGACACGCAAGTGACGACAGGTGTTGGCACCGCCGGTCGACCACCAGATGGCGACACTCGAGCGCTGGCCGGCATCGTCACCGCCACATGTTGGCCACCAGGTGGCATCACCTGAGCACTGGCCGGCGTTGGCGCCACCTGTTGGCCACCAGGTGGAGTCGCTCGGGCCGGGGGCTCGGCGTGACCGTTGACGCGTCCGTTCGCCCGCAGCTGCGGTGGCGCCACCGCTCCGTCTCCGCCGCTCCCGCCCTGCGGCGGTGGCGCGGATCGCTTGTTGTTGTTGTTGCGTATCACGCACACGGCCTCGATGTGCGGCACAAACACCTCGTCGCCATCCGACGAATCCTGCCGACAGGGGGCGCCGCCGCGGCTGCCGTCTTCCCCCGCCACCGTCGACGACGACGACTCGGGGGTGCGCTTGCTCCTAGGCGGCGCCACGGGCGAACCGGCGGACAACGTCGAATCGCCTCGCGCGACCGACGCTCGTCCTCCGTCCTCTCGACTCGCTCCTCCGTCGCCTGCCGTCGTCGTCTTCCCCGGCGCGAAGATAGGAAACGCGAGGCGGTCGCCACCAGGGGGCGGCGTGATGAGGCGGGAGAGGTCGGTGGCGACGTCTGCGCTCGCGCGCTCTCGCTCGTTGCTGGGCGGTGGTGGGATCGTCAGACAGGCGATGTAGAGGTCGATGTCAATGTCACCCTGAAGGAGCAGGTCAGTGTCTCGCTCGCCGCCGCCGCCGCCGCCGCTGCCGACGCTGATGCTGACGCCGCTGCGGATGCTGCCGACGCTGATGCTGACGCTGCCTCCTGCTGGGGGAGCGGGGGAAGGGGAGAGAGAGGAAGACGCACACGATGAGTGTTACACCGGGTGAGCAGGTACAGTTACAGACTTACAGTTATACTTAGTATGTAAGAGCTACAGTTACAGTTACAATTATAGTTATACTTGGTATGTTAGAGCTACAGTTATACTATAGTTATACTTATAGTTTCAGTTAGATTTACAGTTACACTTACACTTACAGTACGCCTGTTAAAGTTTTCTTGTGGTGAGGTAAACGGAAATAATTGTTTCATGTTATCACTTGTAAACAACATCTTACAAGGCGCACACATCCAACCACCTCTACCCCCCCAACCACCACCCTCCCCCCAACCCCTACCCTCCCCCAACCCCCACCTTCCCCCCACACATACCTGTATTAGGCAGCAGGTCCGTTCCGACCGCCATCTTGTTTCGCTGCCTCGGCCGCGGCCGCCTCCCCGGAGGCACCGTCTGCGAATGCGACGGGAGGTTTACTGATCGTCTGCAGGAGATCCACGTCATCCTCCTCCGGTGTCTTTGGCGGAGGAATCAGCGTCAGGTCGATGATGTCTGGGTCCATGTAGAGAATGCCTGCCGCTAGGTCTTTCTCATTGAGACCTGTTAGCAGTTATTGAATGTGAATTATCAGACATTAAAATGTGTTATCATGCAGTCACACAGGTACGCACGTGTAAGTGTAGCATAGAGAGCTATAGTAGCACAAACATATTTATATATACATATATATACTCTGTGTCTGGGTCCATGTAGAGTATACCCGCTGGCAAGTCCTTCTCCGATCTCGTTGAGACCTGCATTATATAGACGTGTACGTACGCGTACGTGTAGCATATAGATAGCTATATAGTAGCATGAAGATATATGTGTACTCTAATATATGTATCTATATGTATCTCTCTNGAGAGAGAGAGAGAGAGAGATCTCACCTGAGTCTGTACATCGCTGCCTAGATCATGCGCTCCATTCTCCACGGGAGACAGATCGCCTGTGTTGGTAGCAACATCCACCAGCACTCGCGACACCTCATCCTTAATCATCTACAAACACAACGAATAACACCGGTGATGGATACACTGCAGGCAGATGCAAACCTCACTTGCTATTGTATTTTATTACCGGGTTAACTTGATAGTCGAATAGATACATTTGAAATTATGATATTATCCCGTACCGCGTTATATTCCTATAAACGTTTCATTGCTCTTGAATGCAGTGGTGGTGGGGGGAGGCTCGTGTATGGCGGGTGGTAATTCGTTGGTGGTAAAGAGAGAGAGAGGAGAGAGAAGCGCACAGTAGAGAGAGAGAGACCCCGAGAGAGAGAGAGGGCGACGAGGAGGAGCGAGAGAAGAAAGAAGATAGCGTGAGTGAGTGAGAGAGAGGAAAGAGAGCGAGAGAAAGAAGGAAGAGAGAGAGAGGTTCGTGAGAGAAGGAATAGATAGACGAGAGAAGAGAGAGTAGAGAGAGAGAGAGACGGAAGAGAGAGAGACGACGAGGCGAGAGAAACGAGATGAGAGAGAGAGCCAGAGAAGAGAGCAGAGCTGAGGAGAGAGAGAGAGAGAGAGAGAGTAGAAGAGAGACGAGAGAGAGAGGAGAGTGAATACGGAAGATGAAGAACGACGAAGGTAGGAGAGAGAGACGACGAGAGAGAGAGACCGAAGAAGGAGAGAAAGAAGAGAGAGAGGAGAGAGAGAGAGAAGGAAGAGAGAGAGAGGAGAGAGAGTGAGTAGAGAGAAGTGAGTGTGCGAGAGCAGAGAGAAGAGAGAGAGTACGAGCGAGAGGAAGAGAGAGAGAGAGAGTAGATAAGGGAAGGATTGAAGAAGACGGAGGTGCGGGATAAGAGCGAGAGAGCAGAGAAGAGAGAGCGTACCTTACCATGACTGCGTCGGAGTGAGGCCTCTCCATGGCGCTGGGGGCGGACCGCGTGTGACACAGATCAGATCTATAAGGCCTCGTCCCTCATCACAGCCAGACGACAGTTACCAAGTGACGTGGGTCAGCTCGGTCAGCACGCGGTGCTGGTCAAAGTACGGCGGACCTGCGTGGGTAGGAACATCACAGTGTTGTTCACTGCATGAATAGATGACGTTCCGTACATGAACAACCCATCATGGTTCACTAGGTGAACATCCCACCATCGTTCACTAAGCGAACAGCACGGTATAGTTCACTACGTGAATAGATGACGCTTTACCTTACACGAACAACCCACCATCGTTCAATAAGTGAACACCACAGCATTGTTCTCTACGTGAATGAATAGCAGCATTGCTTACACATCGAACTACAAAATTGTTCATACCAAGTAAACACCCATAATTGTTTACTTATAGAACACCCAAACATTCTTCATACCAAATAAACGCCCAGCAGTGGTCACTTAAAGAACACACAATACGTTGTTCGTGACAAGTGAACGTCGCAGCATTGCTCACAAACAAGTGAACGTCACTATAATTACCCATGAGCCTTCGCACGACCTGGGGGGCGCGCGACCGATCGCCCGTGCGGTCTATGGTGAGAGGCATGATGCGCTGCGTGGACAAGTAGTGATAGCCCTGTATCATACAGATCATGTCCTCTCCATCCTCCTCCATCATCACGAACGCCAGGTCCTGCACAGAGAAGGAGAATGATGGGTCATGCACAAAGAAGGTGAAAGAAAGGTCCTGCGCAAAGAAGGAGAATGAAAGGTCCTGCGCAAAGAAGGAGAATGCAA